TCAGCTGCCCAACCATTCCAGAGCAAGATCTACTAACATGTCCTCTAAGAGATTTCACCTCGAGAGAAAATGACTGTATATTCTGAAATTCAGAGCCTGAAGCAGGAAAACAAAACCCCAAAGGGTGAGACCCTCAGAGAACACACTTGCAAACTGCAAAGCTCTGAGGCTGTGCCACCTGAACCAATAGCTGTGGCACAATGGTTTTGAGAGGGGGAAAAGGATGCTGAGGTCCTAAGAGCTGCAGTGAAAGGGAATCTACAACCCAACAGGGCAGGAAGGAGCCCCAGTGAGTCCAGCTGACCTGGACATGCACATTAGGCCGCCCTTGAGTCTTTCTTTTAAGCTGGAGCTCAGATGAGACAAATAAATTGTCTCCGTCTACAACATGAAAGTGCTGAGGACAAACCTAACAGCAGCATAAGCACATCTGGGAGCTTGTGTTCCCAGAAACCAGGAAAAAAGACTCCAGATAAGCGTTATTTCCAAGACCAGGCTCCTCCACTGACTCACATCATGCTTCTAGTTACTTTTTCTTATCCAAACTCCTGATCTACTGGTTATCTTTCTTGTTCTGGCTAAAAGTAAGTCAAACATCTTCATTTGTGTGCCTAAATAACCCATTACTGTAAACTTCCACCTTCTGAAATGACAGTTTAAAACTCCCTTTTAATTTTTCCCCCTCCATTCCCACCTCTTTGCTCCTTGGCACATGTGGCACACTGCTTCCTGCCCTCTTCTTTCTAACCGAGCTCAGATTAATTAACCAGCCATAGATTTTTCTTGATTACAATGCTAAACCCCTTCTTTCTCCACAAATTAAAACCAAGATGATAAATCTTTTCTTCTGGGTGGTGGTTATAAAAATAGTACTCAATCTGCATGGTAGGAACTTTAATACCTATTTAATGAATTTTTTTCATGTCAGACTGAGCAATGGTTAGGGTTTTTCTTTTGTGAGGTTGTTATTAGTGAAGGAAGACTAGGAAGTTGCTAGTGAAACCAGATGTTAACTGCACCAGTCCCAGTGTACATACTTACAAAAATCAACCAAAATCCACCAGAACAAGAGGCCTTGCTGCAGAGAGCACAGATATACAAAACCAAGCTCGTGAGCAAGTGAAATCACATCAATCTCTGTTTTACAGATAATAAGTGACAAGCCCTAGTGTCAGATCCATCATCTGCTGCAGTCTCTTAGTGACTCCACAATGGTGACAGGACTCAGGACTGGAAATGCACAGCCATGAACTGGCTGCCTGCCCATCAAATATCCCTGTTGGCTCCTTCTCCTGGCATTCATAAGGCTATTAAAGCATTTCCCACTCACTGCTTACAATATACTGATAATTAGACACCCTGGGACAGTCTGGAAGAGCTCTGCATCCCGCACTTTCCACATCCAGAATACTCAGTGTGCTCTGCACAAACCCAAGAACACCCCTTTCAGATTTAGCAGAAGTGGACAAAATTTCTCAGCAGAGCTCTAGCTGGAAATTACAGGCTCATATTGAATTCTGTTACTCAGGGAGAGATTAATTTGGGTAAAAGAATATAAAAACTAAAAAATGTGTTCAGAGGACATACAGCTCTCCCCAGGTAGCTCCCCTAAAATCCAAGAGCTCTGTCCCAGCATTTTGCAGCACCAGTGCTCTTTCTAGAACTCTAAACTGGCACAGCAACTTGCTGAGTCAGGTGTTAGTGCTTCAGGCTTGACTCACACACAGTTTTAATCAAGTAACCTGCTCTCTGGAGCTCGCAGAAAGCTCATTTAGAGATGAACATCAACAGCAAATTTGTCATCTTCAGAGGGGGCTGGGAGCTTTCCTCCCACTTCAACATTTACCATCTTAAACTGCTCTTTGACGAAATTCCCTTATTCCTCACACAGCTCATCAAGGTTTGCCTCTCCAAACCTTAAGGTGTGCTCCTGGCCCAGGGGGCTCGTCCTGCCCTCTTTCCAGGGCTAGGAGTGTGCTGTGGACAGTCACAGCAGCAGGGCACAGGCTGGCAGGCTCCGTCACCACTCACAGGCTGCCAGACCCCTCAGAAGGACTGGAAGAGGCAGGACATTCCTCCACAGCACTGCTGGTGTCATCCCTCTTACCAAGACTCAAGTTATTTCTGTTTTAGACAGGGAGCACCCCTAAAGCCCCACTGTTGAGTGTCTACATGTGGCACTACCCAAGGAGGGGCTTCAGCAGCACTTGGTGGCAGATTTGGTAACGCATGCAGGATAAACCCCTTGGAGGGCTCAACAGAGCTTCAGAACTATGCACAACTGAGGCTGTGGCTGCCCCTGGATCCCTGGCAGTGTCCAAGGCCAGGTTGGACAGGGCTTGGAGCAACCAGGGATAGTGGGAGGTGTCCCTGCCCATGGCAGGGGTGGAACTAAATGATTTTTAAAATCCCTTCCAAGCCAAATTAGTCTGTGATTCTATTATTCTCTAATGCTAACCAAAGACAACTAGTGCATGTGAAACTCTCCAAGAGGCTCTGCTGTTTGCAGTGTGCACTAACAGCAGCACTGCCTCTGTCCCTCTGACCCTCCACTGGCCAAATACATTTGCAAAACAAGCACAGTCCATGGAGAAGTTGTAGAGGGGAATGAGAGAAGAGAGCCAGGGGAAAAGACAAACTGTAGCAGTTGGAAATACTGAAAGTCACAGATTCTGGAAAGAAAAGAAAAAACCTGCCTCCTCCTCAGGATCCTATCCTTCAGTAGGGAGAATCCAAAAACCTTTTAAATGCTACTGCAGGGGACAAAGAAGGAATAAGAGCTGCTAATCCTCCCTGACTCTTACTGTGCTTTCTCAGCTCACGTCTACACAACACTGAGATCATCTATCACTTTCCAAAAATACTGCTCATTTCCTGTATTTCTGCAATGCTATCCCCTGGCATCAAACACTACCTTACGTCTTTGTTTCCTCATCTCAGATGGATGAACTTTCTTCCCATAACAAAGCCCCCCCAGCCCCTGAGTTCAACTGCTGTTGAATCTCTCTAGCTCTGCTATAGCACGAGACTGGTTTGAAAGAGTGAGTCATTCAAATGATTTAGTCTTACACATTTCTGAAAATTTTAAAATGTGGTGTAGGAAGAGAAACAAAACCCCACTACACCCAGAGGCAGAGAACAGCCCAGCTTCCTGACATTCTGCACCCCTTCTATACAACTCCTACAGTGTAAGCTTGCCTTCCGAATTTGCAACAACCCCTGTGAACTCTCTCTTGTGGGCTCTCTTCTTGGCAGCCCTTTCCCACCTCTGCAGCCCTTGCTGTGGTGCTGAAGTTGCTGCCAATTTACACTGGCCTGCTCTTCGCTGAGCAGCAGATGCTCATGACTCATGCAGTGCTTGCAGACACAAGTTATCCATAACAGCACCCAAATTAACAATACCAAAGGTCACTCTCCCATTCAAACATGGACATATTCATGTGTATGACCACGCTAATTTAGGAGGCAATGTCTGCTCCCTTGGAGTGCTTCCTTGGATGGGAAGGTGTCCCTGCCCATGGCAGGGGTGGGATGAGATGAGGCCCCTTCCAACCCAACCCATTCTGGGATTCTATGACAAAAATACAAAGGCAAAGTAAGAGATGCTGATTTTCACCTACCATATAAATGATTTTTATTTAATTTTGAG